TTGATACCATACTAGATTCAACTATTCTTGTGTTTCATTTTTGCATGTTTTGACGTCCAGAATAAACTAGGTCATTCTTCCCGAATAACTAAGTTATTCAAACCATCCACAGTCGGTCATATGTTGGAAGTAGATATGAATCAAGACTGTCATGGGTTGGCTTGTAGAGGTCTAAGATGTTGGAAAAAGTAGTGCTACAACACTCATGAGTGCTCATAAGTTCTAAGTATTGGATTCAACCCACACTCATTGAAATCACTTAACGGATTTTATCACAAGTGATCATGAGATGATAATATTTTATATTCTTCAAACCTAGAGATATGAGTTGTTACTATGAGTTGGTTATACATTGATTTCACGAAACCGCATTGGTAACTCGATGTCATAAAACATGCCTTTGTGTATGATTCAACAAGTAGTAGAACAAGCCACATGAGTCGAGGTTTATCCATTCCTTTTACCTTCGGGATAAAAGCGATATCTGTGGGCCCCTCGATGATTTAATGATGATACATGTGAGTGCTTGGCCAAGCCAAGATAGATTTGATCTGTTCAATCAGTCAGTCATCATGAATCGGAAATCGAGAAACAACAAATGGACAGAGAGAATGATTTATAATCCATGTCTTAGTCCATATGATATCTATAATGGAGGAATATATGATCCCTTATGTAATGGACAAGTCATTGATAAAGGTCAGAGTTCATCGACAAGGTCAGAGTTCGATAGAAGCTTTTGAGAGCTAGGATTGCTAGTCGGGTTCTAAAGTCATACTCAATAATAGTTTTAGACTTATCCAAGTGGGAGACTGTTGGATTAATGTCTAAGTCCATAACTATAATTGATAAGACTTGACCCGACCCGGCATGGTCCATTTGGGTTGCATGGCATCATGCATTTGGATTAACTAAAATGAGAGAAATAACACTTAAGGTTTGGTAATATATTATAAGTTCTAATATATTAATAAGATTATTTAATTAGTATTGATGAAGAATTAATCTAGAATTAATTAAGTGGTCAAAAGAAAACTAATTAAATATATGGGTTGATTGTGTAAATCATCCATACTTTTATAGTGGGCTAAGACTCCATGGATTATCAAGTTGGGCTAAAACCCATAGGATGATCCATGGTGTATTTGAACCCATGGATCCAAGGAAATGGAAAGCCATGACAATTAGGGTTTACCCTAATTGTGACACTATATAAAGATCTTATTCTTTGGAAAAATCGGCCACTATGTTTGAGAAAAAGGCCTAGTCGATTTTCATGAAGTGTGTATATTCTCTCAAGTTATTCCAAGTGTATTTGGTGTTGTGTGAACCATTTGAGGTGTAAAACTTGGGGCATTAGGCATTCAAGCTTCATGAAGACATTCTACATCAAAGAGGTATGTAATTCTAACTTGAGATATTCATATGAATCAATGTTATTATGCTAGTTAGGATGAATTCCTTGGAAAGTTCATATTTGCATGTATAATAGAGAAAAAATAGATCCAAGGTATTTAGGGTTGCATGTACACTTAGGAGTGTTAGAATGCTCAAAACCTATCAAATGCTCCCACATCTTATCTTCAGGTTTCTAAGTCCATTCGGAACCCTTCCAGTGCTACAATTGCACCTTCACTAATCTCACCACCTTGTTGCGTAAGGTCATCGTCTTCCTGTCAATAACCGCAACATGTATCTCTACATAATTTAGGTGCTTATTGACCTAAATTCCATCCAAAGGAACTTATAACGAACCAAATTTTCCCACACTGACTTTGAGGTTAGTTACATTATAATTTGATGATTAAGTTACTTTCTGATTATTAAAGTTAACTTTTAAGGGCTTAAAGTGTAATAAATGATTACTAGATCATGTATATGGGTCATGTAGTCATTTTTGCACATTTTGAGGGGATAATTTGCAAGTTAGGCTCATATAAAATCTTAAGCAAACCCTAATCGGGGATTTACCACTCATTTGCAGCCAACAAGTGTTAGAGAGAGTGTGAGAGAAGTTTTTGAGTTCCTTCCTTGAAGGGGTGGGTAAAGGTGGAGAAGAATATTGGATTAATGGGTGTTATTGGAGAATTCTTGTTAAAAATTTGAAGGCTCTTTTCTAGCAACCCTCCTTGGGATCTTTATTGGAATCTACCAAAGGTAAGAACTCTTTCCATGAGTTCATTTTGTTGTTCCATGAATCATACACAAGAAGAAACCATAAATGATGCAAAGTTCTTGGTTTTGGTGTATCTGATTGTCCCATTCAAGTCCCAATTGTTATAGGCTTGTAGAAAGGGATTTGAGGGGTTAAAATAATCCCAAAGCAGGTGTTGATCAAACCCAATTGGAATATAATGAGGAGATCATTCGGTTTCTTCAAATATGTTAAAGACAGTTTTCACGATGTGAGCACCCATGTGTCTTATCTTGAGAGTGAGACATGGAAGGACCTAGGTGGTGATTTATTAATGTCATGATGTGAAAAGCCAGTTGCCAAGTCGTGATGACTGGATGAAGAACATTTAGGTGCGACGATTACGCTTGGCAAGAATGTGAGTGTCTTATTTGTCACGTTGTGATGAGGTGGGCTCGATTATTTAAACCATGATAGTTATTTTGTGTTACGATGTGGACATCTTGGTGCGACGATGTTATGATGGATTTGATCGAGCTGCACTTGTGGGGGGTGTCTAGCTCACGATGTGAGACGCTAAGGGTCACGATGTGAGAACTGCTCGAACATAAACTATTTTGGTTTTATAAAGGTTGTTCCTAATCAATTCCTTGGGAGTTCTTGTAGGCGTTTTAAAGCATCTGTTTCGGAGTAAATTTCCTCTGTTCATATCTTACATATCTTGGAAAAGAGGTGAGTCATTTCTTGGTGGTTTAAGCACTAGTTTGGAAGGAATGCATTCACTTATGTTTGTATTCTTGCCTATTGATGTTGTGTGAAGTTAGAAACTGAATGCCAAGGGTAAATGTAACATAGACATGTAATGTTATTATTAGTGTTGTAAAAATTGGTCTAGACGGCCAATTAATCGGGGATTAATCGCTAGGCGGTCTTCAACCAAATAGGATTAAGGCTAATCGGTTGGCTTAATTGGTTTTGGTCAAAGGGGGTCAAAGTCAGAGCTAGACAGTTCTAATCGGTCCTAGGCGGCCAAATTGGTCAACATTTCAAATTTTCAAAATTTAAATATTAAACCAAAATTTTCAAATTTTCATAAGTTCATACTTTTTCAATGTTCACCTAATATATTAAAAAAATATTAAAATAAATTTTAAAGTTTTTCTCCAAAATTTTCAAATTTCTATGTTTCCAAATATACAAAATACCCAAGTTTACTTCTTTTCTTAAGATATATTAAAACTTGAATAACTTTTCTTATTAATTGAATGATAAATTGTTGTGCTTGTTAAACATATTATTAAACTTTTATGCTTATTTATTTATATTCTTACAATTAAAGTTAGATTTATAAAATTTTGAATAATTTCTTAATAATTAATGGTCCCCGATTAATCCTCCGATTAATCCCTAGACCCTAGTCCACCAACTAGCTAATGTCTAACGTTTTTTTTGCAACATTGGTTATTATTGATGCAATTGAACTTAGGAAATTCTTGTACGCTAGAATGCTTGAATTAAACAATTGATGCAATATGTGAGAAGTAGATCCATGCTAGAACTGAGGACTTTTGTGTGGTTTAATTGTGATATTGTGCATGCTATATTTTCTGTTTTGTCACCCATGACTGAAACTATGAGATGCATGCTAGATATTGTGTGATTGAAAGGATTACCTCATTATATTCCATGACATATTGTTATGTATACTATATGTTGCTATGCCTTGGATGTGTGTTTGATAGATGTAGTATGCCACAGATTAATATTAAGCCAAATTCGATGTCGAATGGTTTTCTAGTTAACTACTTCAACATGGTTCTGGTGCACTTTGTGTATGGGAACTGGAGTGATGTGGCTACTCGGAGATGATAGATCAAACATCACGTTTGGGTGGGAGAAAGTGTTTGAAGTACCATTATAAAACCAACGAACGTAAACACATTGACTTGTACGTGTATAGTCGGAGTAGTGAAGATGTCGAACAAGGGACAATGTTACGGGTGGGAGTCGCGCCCCACGTGGTGCACTGGGTTGCCAGGTCATGCCAGTAATGAACAAGGTTCTTATTTTGGGGAGAGTTAGCGATGTAATAGACCATAGTTAATGAGAGACATTAAGAGTAATTAAATCGAAGCAAATTAACTAATAATTATTTCGATGAAAGAATGTATGGATTCATGCGTATATATATATATATATATATATATATATATGTGTGTGTGTGTGTGTGTGTGTATGTATGTATGTGTATATGTGTGTGTGTGTGTTAATAATTATCGATGTATGATGAATGGATTGATGTGATTGCCTGACTTGAAATGATGTATATGTATTCTTTGTTCCCATGCTTATGTGCTTGAGATTGACTCACTGTGCTGATGCTGACACTTGTTTCTTACATATTGTTGTGGCTTTGCATTTGATTATTCATGGCCTGGTGAGGTTGGAATCTCTTCAGTAGTTATAGCTTTTGATTAGTAGTGCTGATACCCGTTTGATACTTCTTGTGATATTTCATATACACTCGGTTTTTGTGCTTGTTTTGGTTGGGTTTTTACAACTATGGATTTTGATGGGTTGTTTTTGAAAGACTTTCTAAATAACTATTGATGATGATTTTATAAGACTTTTGCTAACGTTTTTTTATAATAATTGGTTAAAATAAAATAACAATTTTGTGTGAAAAATCATAATCTTACATGTAGGTATCAGAGCCATGATGTGAGTGAACTAAATAAAGAGGCTGGTATTCAAATTCATAGTGTAGATTGGTTTAATTAGGTGCTTTAGGTTCTGAAGGGGGTGGGTGTGTGATAAGTGCTTATAGTTTTATGAAACTTTCTCCCTATTTATTTTTTGTGAAAACATGATGAAGAGGATGATGCTATTGGGGGTACAAGAAGAGACCAGGGCAACAGTACCCCAGAGACACATTCGTTTGTCTTTAATGTCCCACCTACTGGTCGTCAACCACCAGCCCAACCAACACGTAGCAAGCACATCACTGAGAGTGTTGCTATCATTGCTGAGCTCCAGGAGTAGCTTGTGGTACGAGATACTATGTTACTACGACACGATCGAGCCATGGAGGAGATGTAGTAGGCTATATTGTTGGTCTCTTACCCCCAGAGGATGAATAAGAGGAGAATGAGGAGCCACACAGCATGATAGATGAGAGCCGCTTAGTTTCTCCGGAGCGGAGCAGGGATCCCATTAAGGATCATGACGAGGGATAGGGTAGCTCATTCCAGACATTCACGGACCGCAAACCCCTTGTATTTTGAGGAGGAGAGGATCCAAAATTGCATGCAATGCTTACGCAAGATGAGGCAAAACTTTCGTTCATGCGACTTCACTGAGTCACATAAAGTCAGTTGTACAACACTAAGCTGGATGATAAGGTCCTATAGTGGTGGGAGGCATTGGATTTTGTTGTTCCCGAGGCTGCACTTCAAGACATGACCTTGGAGGCCTTTAGCCAAAGGCTCCAGGAGCGTTTCTATCTACCAGGTCAAATGAGGAGGATCTAGTGGGAGTTCCTTACACTGGAAAAAGGAAATATGTCTGTCACGAAATATAATTCCATGTTCTCTAAGAAGCTACAGTTCAGGAAGAATTACTGTCCCACCAAGGTAAAATAGGTGGAATACTATGATGAGGGTTACCGACAGAGTATCGGGCTACTATGAGTTAGTGTAGCACTTTGGCAGCTGCCATGGATGGGTCTATTCAGATTGAGGTGGATTTGGCTACACTGGTACGTTCTATGGTGAAGAGTAGAGAGAAAAGGAAGTGGGAGGGTCAATATGACCTCTACAAGAATAATAAGAGTTTTTTCTGGAAGAAAGAAGACAAGCTGAACTATTGCGGGAAGTGTCATTCTTCTCATAAGGATCCTTACAGCAACAACACTATTAGCTGTTGATGTTGTGGCAAACTGGGTACAAGATATCTGAGTGTACGAGTACCGAGCCTCTCTGATATAATTGAAAGTAAATGGGACACATGAGCAAGAAGTGCTGAAATCCAATGGTTACTGCTGGCAGTTCAGATCAGAAGACGAAGAAAGCCAAAGCTCCAACACATGCTTTCCAGATGACAGGTGAGGATGACAGATTTGATGATGAGGTGATTCTTGGAACCTTTTTGGTTAATGATTTTCCTACTTTTGTTTTGTTTGATGATGGTGATACTATATCATTTGTATCCCCTACATTTTGTGCTTAGTTTGTGATACCTCGTAGTCCTTTGAGTCCTATGTTAGACATTGTGGTAGAAATAAAGAGTTCTATTTTGGCGAAGGAAAATTTTGATGGGTGTTTGATCATTATCTCTGGTCACAACTTTCCTCTTACTCTGAGTTTGATAGGAAACAATCCTTCGATTTTGTCTTGGGTATGGATTGGTTGTCTTCCAATCGAGTTGATATCCTCTGTTTTGAGAAGGGTGCTTGTATCAAGATTACTGAGGGAGGGAGTATTATGGCTCGGGGTCAGATGTTTGGGGGAACTATAATGATTATTTCCATGATGACGACACGTAAGGGCCTAAATAGAGGTTGTGTGATCTTCTTGGCTCATGAGATTGAGAGTCCAAGGAAGATAGTGGATCTTGTTGGCATGGAGGTGGTCAAGGAGCTTAGTGATGTTTTCCTTGATGAGTTACCTGGTTTACCACCACCACGAGAGGTAGAGTTCCAGATTGATATTATTCATGGCACGTCTTCAATAGCTAAGGCGCCATATCGGTTAGCTCCATCAAAGATTAATGATATGTGGACTTAGATTAAGGTGTTATTAGAGTGGGGGTTCATTAGATCGAGTTCCTCAATGTAGGGAGAACTAATACTCTTTGCGAAGAAAAAGGACGGTTCCATACGGATGTGTATTAACTATAGGGAACTGAATAAAGTGTTTATGAAGAATAAGTAACCACTCCCAAGGATTTATGACCTCTTCCATCAGTTACTTGGGGCTAGTCACTTTTCGAAGATAGATTTATGATCAGGGTATCATCAGGTGCAGGCCTGCGAGTAGGATTTTCGTGAAACGACTTTCAAGACCCGATATGTGCATTATGAGTTCCTGGTAATGCCCTTTGATTTGAATAATCCACCTATGGTATTTATGGACCCGATGAATCAGGTATGTCAACCATTCTTAGAAAGATCGATGATAGTGTTTACCGACAACATTTTGGTATACTCTTAGAGTGTGGAGGATCATCAGAGGCATTTGCGAGAGGTTGTGGAGACGCTTCTTAGGGAGAAACTTTACAAAAGTTCTCCAAATGCGAATTTTGGTTGAGATAGGTCCAATTACTTGGACACATTGTTGAGGCAGATGGAATCAAGGTAGACCCAACCGAGATAGTAGCAACCAAGGAGTGGCCAAGGCCGTAGACTCCCACTGACATTCATAGTTTCTAGGGTTTGGCATGTTATTATAGGAGATTTATAAAAGATTTCTCCAAGGTAGTGGACTTAATGACTAAACTGAAGAATAAGATATAGCCATTTGTTTGGACAGATAAGCAGGATGTAACACCTGTTCCAAGTATTATTTAATTTATCTAATTTTTAGGGTTTTGTGCATGGACTCGGCGAGTTGGGAGCTCCAACTCGGCGAGTAGAAGTTATTTTGAGGAAGCGGGTTTTCAATCCTACTTGACGAGCCAGAAGGCCCTGACTCGCCGAGTAGGCGCTGTAAAGGAAAACATTAATATTTAGGGTTTGCACCCTATTTAAAGAACATAATCTGCCTCTTGTGGCCTCCCTTACCACCTTATTAGCCAAAGAAAACCCTAGTTGGATCTTGCACCTTCTTGAGTGAGAGAAAGAGATTTTGTGAGAAATTTTGGTGTGTTTGTGAAGGATTTTAGAGCTTGAAGAAGAAGGAGCAAGGAAAAAAGCAGTAGATCTGACATCTACTTTTTATCGTCCACCATCTTGAGGTATAAAGTCGTCACCTTGATCTCTAGTCACTTAGATCCCTTTTCTTAGAAATAAATGGCCATTTTTGGTGCAAAATAGGGTCACACTTGGATCTGGATTTATCGTAAGGATATGGTTCCATATCTGGACCTCTCTAGGTCCCTAATGCCATAAAGTTCCTCACTTGATCCAGCTTAGGCCCTTTCCATGCACTAAAACCTTATAGGAAGCTTAGTTTTGATGTTTTGACCTTGGAGGACCTTGCATGCACGTAAAGTTTGCAACTTTACATGGTATCTGCACTAGGGGAGGTTGGATCTGAAGTTTGGGACCTTGGACCCCACTGAAAAGGGCTGAACATAAAAGTGGCTGAAGGAACTTGTCGAGTCTCCTACTTGACTCGACGAGTCAGGGTGTGGTATTCCTGTTTTTTGAGTTTGGATTGAGTGCGTGGAAGGATTGGGGTTTTGGTCTGAATGGGCTTTAGGTTTTCTGGACATTTGATGAACTAGACGAGTCACTAAGGTGACTCAGTGAGTTGATTCGGGATTTAGTGGAATGAACTCGATGAGTTTCTAGATGCACTCGGCGAGTTGAGGTCAACACGGACTGTTGACCTTGACCATTGACCTTGACTTTGACCAGGGTTGACCGGAGTTGACTTAGAGGGTATTTATGGTATTTCAGGATTGTAACAAGTTAATCACATGTTGATTATAGGCGGTTAAGTTGGATTAGTGTGTGGGATATATCTGATCATAGCTTTTCAATGCAGCATTCGAGAGGTGAGTTTCCTCACCATACCAATGGATATATGGCACCGAGGCCGTCCCATTTTGTGACATGTAGTGCACTTGTTATTGTAGAGATACGTGGTGTGATAGTTAGATATGCTTAGTGATATGCCAACTATATGTGTGATATTTGTAGGGAAGACCATGGGAGGTGCCCATGATACTTGGATGTAAGACCATGTGGGGGATCCCATGGCTTTTTAAGTAAGGACGATGGGAGGAGCCCATGACACGTGGATGTAAGACCATGTGGGGAGCCCATGGCTTTCCATCTAAAGATCATGGGGGGAGCACATGACACTTAGGTGCAAGACCATGTGGGGGAGTCCATTTCATCCTGGAGTAAGGCCTTAGGAGGAGCCCACAAAATCCTTATAAGTTTGTATGCATGGCTTATGTGATTATGTATCTTTTATAGCTAATGTGATATGTGTTATGTAGATTGTGTGTGGGGTATGCTCTGGGGAACTCACTAAGAATTAGCTTATAGTTTGTGGATTTATTTCAGGTACATCTGAGCCTAAGGGCAAGGGATAGGCTTGATGGCGCGATGTGCACTCTCTGATAGGCATTTTTACGGGACACTCTGATGATTTGAAATAAAATTGTACTTGATATGAATTTTGAAAACAATTGTATTTGGGATTTCATGGTTTGTGGGAAGTATTTTGGTTAATCAAAAATGAAAATTTTCTTTTGAAAATTGGGTCATTACAAGTTGGTATCAGAGCCTTGGTTTGAGGAATTCAGGCACACTCTCGGGTGTGTCAGGACTCAATGTAAGGAGATGGTAAAATTGTTTTCGAACGAAAAATAAAAGTTAAAACTTTTAAAGAATGGAGTAACTTATACTATTTTTCATAGTTGTTATTATGAACCTATAATTAAGATTCATCAGTGATTCCAAAGTCATTATATTGTTTTTATCTACTTACAAGAGTCATGTCTAGGATGGATTTAGTGAGGTTCTTAAACTGAGATTTTCAAACAGCATACTGTGTATACCAAATGGACCCTACCTCTGATATGATCCTACCTGGTTATTCCTTACTTGATAGATCTTGATGTAGACATTAGGATTGTTGAGGAATCTAGACTATCACTATATAGTCCCCATGTAACATCCCAAAAATTCATAGAAAATTTTTCATTTTTAAAATTATAAACCATACAAACGAGTTGTTCCAAAACTGATCAAACTGAAAATATTATTTAAACACCAGAGTAAAGATAAAAAGTTGCCAACGCAGTACACTTTTGGAAATTCAAGACAGTCACTCCGGAACCTTCCCTTTCGAACCAAAAGTACCTAAAACCATGAACGTAAAATTGTAAGCACAAACCTTAGTGAGTTCCCCAAAATACCACATACCATACATACAATAGAGATTGCTATGTGCCAACCATATTATTTCCAACTATTCCATGAGCCGTATCGTGGTGTTTCATTGCCAGGCCGGAGGGGGGGGGGGGAACCATGGGTCTTACAAAAAAAGTGCCAAGAGCCACCCCATGGTCTACCATGCAAGTATCACAAAGACAACTAGCATAGTATATATAAATGCCACGGTCCGGTCCCTAGTTTTGCATACAATTTTATGGAGCCACCTCCAAGTCTTTCAGATAAATGTCACAGGCCACACCCTAGTCTTCTTGTATAACATACACCAGTGGGCCAGTATTGGTGCCTTCGAGCCTCGAGTATAGTGAGGAGACTCACTTGAATCACAATGTTGACTAAAACCTTGCACAACGCCCAACTGATTGCAACCAACAACTCTCACCGCCAAAAGATGGGTGCTAAACACCTCCTAACAATCCACACAAGGAAAACCCTAAGTCTACCTTCTAAAAATAGATATTGACCAAAAGTCAACCCATGAAAAAAGTCAATCATCAAAGTCAATGACGAAAGTTGACTGTAGCCAACCGCCATGTTGTGGCCTTCCTTGGGCACATCGTGGTCTTCACCAGCCAAACATATATGAAATTCCCAGTTAACATGTCGTGGTGACCTATGGCCATGCCATGGGTAATGAGTTTCCAGCAGCTTAATGGATTAAGTTGATTTCTTCAATTTCAAGAGCTTCAAAGCTCAAATCCGATTCATACTATGATCTACATGGATAAATATCCAACTTTATCCATTGAAACAACCAAAGAGATGAAGATCTCAAACCCGAAGTCCAAATAAAGCTAAATTCCATAATATCTTAACCATTAAGTCCTCAATCTAAAAAAGTTCTTAACCTAAACACCCACAATGGTTTATAACACCAGATCTATCGTAAAGGTGGAAGCTATTTTGAAATGTATGTCCAAACATGTCTAAGATCCATTTTAGGTCAAATTTGAGCTCTAAAGACCAAAACCTAAGCAAATCACAAGAACTTCTTGTTGGATTATTGTCTAAGTGCATAACTATTTTGTTGTGTACTTGACCAGATTATGAGCATAGTCCTTTTGGGTTGCCTTCACCATGGCAATATGTAGGATGAATT